GTCACTCCAAGAAAGTGAGGGCGTGGGAGAAGATGTCTGCCACATCATCAGTTATAGTTTTGAAAATTTATAAAAGCTGATACATTCATTCAAACGCAAGCTTAAAGTTGCAGTATGTAACTTGTATACAAAACATTTTATAATTAAAATATATATATTTCAAGTCTTGTCTCGGTCTCGGGTTAGGTGGTCTTGACTACATCACCTTGACTGGAGAGGACAGGAGCGTCTCCTCCTGTCGAGTCCACTGCCTCGTCCCTCTCCCAGGACAAACCTCCTCCTCCTCCTCTCTTCTCACAGGAGACGAAGGCGCAGCACTGAAAGGCGTAAGAAAGCTCCATCACCCTGAGGAGACACACAGCTCAAATTAATCCAGATTAGAGACATACGTCTCATCTGAACAGAGATGGAGGTTGAATCTGATGTCCAGAGCTTAACCGCCCAATGTGGACATTGTCTCAGTTTGTGGACGAAGGCTGAAAAGGACGAGAGTTCTTTTGGACGGACTGAACGTCTCCAAACAGTGACCGCTCACCTGACTCGTGGCAGGTCTTCTCGGGGGATTAAGTCGGTCAGCTGATCGTTTCCAGCCAGTCGGATGTGGGTCAGACTCTGCAGGCCGGTCAGAGGCAGGGAGGACAGCTGATTGGACGACAGGTCGCTGCAGAAAACCCAGCGGAGCTTCGTGAAGATTTACATCTATTTCATATTGAGACTAATCTTTTCTGCTCGCTGACATTAACAGGGCCGTGCTAAGCTTCTGAGAGGCCCTGGGGCCAAACCTTTTCTTATGGCCCCCTTGAGTTGAAACATGTTTGCTCAGAAAAATAACTTTAAACAAAAAAGTGTCTTTTTCCTTGTGTGGATAAAAACTCACAGTTTGGAAAGTGCCGGCAGAACAGAGAAAGCGTTCGGCTTCACGGAGGACAATCGATTTGAAGACAGATCCCTGCAGGACAGAAAGAATGAGGCGGGCGATCATGTAACGTCCTGGGTGTGTTTGTCACGTTAGCCAACACAGCTACCACAGCTAATCATCTTTAGCCGACTGAAGAATGACTCTATAAATGATTTCCACAAATATTGAGGTAAAACCTGGTGTGGTAGTAGCTGAGCGTCATCCCCGGCACACACTCTGAGGACTTTGTCTGAATCTTTACGACTCTTTGAGGCGCTCAGCACAGACACGTTAACTAACACTGAGCTTTATGCTTCATTTAGCACTTCGGCATGTCTTTGTCTTATTTTAGCTAGGAACAAATGTTCGGCTCATTCAAGAGATGATGTCATGACCTTTTAGAAACTTTTATTTTTGTAAAATATTTGACTTTATTTACAAATATTTTTCTCCCAGCAGTACATTCAGAGCTTTTCCTTCCAAAACGTTGATTTCTGGAATCTGCTTCATCTACTGGCTGTTTGACTTCTTCAGCTACTTTTAGCATTTAGTAAGTCTTTTCAGCCTATTAGCTTTTTAGCTATTAGCTAGTTATTTTGTTGGCACTTTCAGCTTTTATCTACCATTCTGCTACCATTTATTTTTAGCTAACACTTTACTACTTTTACCTACTTGACTTGACTTATTGCTAGCCTTTTGCCATCTTAGCTTTCAGCTACCATTACGCTACTGTTAATTTCTAGCTAGCCTTTTGATACTTTAGCTAGTATTTTGATCATTCAGCTTTTAGCTAGCCTTTTGCTACTTTAAATTTTTAGCTAATGTTTTGCTACTTCTAGACTAGTGGTTGCCTTTTCTTAATTTAAGTTTCGAGCTACCATTCTGATACTTTTAACTTTTAGCTAGTTAACTGCTAATTTAGCTTTTAGCAACCGGCTATTATTAATTTCTAGCTAGCATTTTGATACTTTTATTTTACCAATAAAATTCTGCTACTTTTAGCTTTTAGCAAGTCTTTTACTACTTTAGCTTGTAGGCTAGGATACTTATAACCCGTGTTTTGAACCATTTAGCTTTAAGCTAGCCTTTTCTCCTTTTAGCTATTATTCTGCTCTTTTTAGCCAGTGTTTTTAAGGCCTGCTGTTGCAAACTTGAAACATGTTTTTTTATTTTTGTTTATTTGGACAGGTGTTTTGTTAGTTTATAGCACATTAAGCTCCTTCAGCCACTTCAGAGAGAAGCCAAAACACCGGCTGTTTGATCAGGAGCAGAAACGGTTCGGCTCGTTAACAAGCGGACCACCCGGATCAGAACTTTACATTTAGAACTGGTTCTTACAGCGAGCGCAGCGACATCAGACAGGTGAAGGTGTTCTCATCCAGCTCCTCGATGTGGTTATGGTGCAGATCACTGCAACACACACACACACACACACACACACACACACACACGCACGCACGCACGCACACACACACACACACACATACACACAGTGTTTCCATTACGTCACTTTAATTATTTTATATTTTTCTGGGGGATCAGATTGGTCTAAAATAGACCCGGCTAATCATTCCCATAATAAGCAGCTGGATGTGTTTTACTGGTTGCCACGGTAACCGGGGATTTAATAAGTGTGTTTCTAATCTTTAGAGGTTGATGAGTGCTGGTTCTGACCCAAAGGAAACAGTAAAATCTTCAATAAATCACGTAAAATGAAGATGAAGCTCACATCTTCTGGATGCTCTCGCAGCCGGAGAAGCTCGGGACAACCTGGATCCGATTATACGAGACGTCCCTGCAGAGACAAAGAACTTTCATCTGTCAGCGCTGTGAGGTCCAACACACCCTGAACGCAGCACAGCGTCAACAGCTTCCAGGACGTGAAAAGGATATTTAATTATGATTATTTTTACAGTGGCCTCGAGAAGGATGGGACAGTCTGGGCCGGGTCACATGACCCTCAGACCGGTCCAAGTTCTGAGACACGAGGACTTACAGCAGCTGCAGGTTTGGAAGCTGATCACACATGGAGGGGGGCAGATCCGTGATGCGAGCTTCAGTGATGGTTCTGGACAGACAAACGATCTCAGAGTTAGATCTGTTGATCATCTCCCGCCTGGAAACACGACTACAGACGGTGAACGTGTTCTGTAACGTATGACGTGAAGATCCTATCATATATACCTTACCATGTTTTTCTGTGTTAAATAATTTCACATCATATATCAAATCGTACACCGCATTGTTTTGTTGTGCTGTATCATCATACTGTAACAGATTCATCATATATCAGTTCATATATCATATTTTATTGAATTATGTTGTGAGGCACATTATATAATGCACATGTCATGTTGTAGGTTATTAAATCACAATATTTTGTGCATTTTTATATAGTGTATCATTGCATTGGACATTTATTATTGTAATATATCAGATTGTACTCATCATCATGTATATTATCATTCCATACTGTATTGCACCCTAGCATTTCATATTGTATCATATCATATATCATATAACTTGGTATCATATCACATTACATCATATGACTTCATATCAAGTATCATATCCTATCCTGTCACTTCATATCATATATTATATCATTTATCACATCATAGTGTCTCAAATCTTATTGTATCATATCAAAGTATCATGCTATATATTAAATATATGTATTGCATCATACATCATGTCACATCAAATTGCATCGTCCCATGTTTTGTCATAATATATTGTACATTTGTATCTTAAAAGATCAATTCATATTGATTTTCATATAACCTTTACTTATACAGGTTAGGCCCATTATTATATCATCTCTCATATATATATATATATATATATATATATATATATATATATATATATATGAGAGATGTGTGTGAGTATATCATCACATAAAGGATCTTAGTGAATCATGTCATATATGTCTCATGGCTCATTCATTTTGCCCTCCTCTTTAAAAATACAATACAATCACAAGATGATTTTCATTTTAACGATGCCTGTCACTGTTTTTATTGTTACCAGTGCTCATTTTTATTTTGTATATGTTTTAGGAATTTTGTTATATACTGTTTATTTTGTGGTTTTTTTAATGTGTTTGCTGTCTGTTAACCAGGTTGTCATTTAAATAAAAACCTGTTCACAATTGATTTATCTGTTAAAGTATTAGTTATTGCTATATATCATGTCACGTCATGTTGTAATTAAATATCTCATTGTATTGTGTCACACATATATTTTGTCACATTGAATCTTATTGTATTGTTTCATATATAAAACTGTATTGCATTATATATTATTGTATCATATATAATTTTATATTGTATCATATCATGAATATATATATATATCATCAATCACATTGTAAATACCATCTCATATTGTAACATGTCATATATATCCCATCTTTTAAAATCGTTTCACAACTAATAATATATCACATTATATTGTATCATATCATTGTAGCATATACTGTCATATTTCGTATCAAAATTTATTTTATGATATATATCATAACATCGTATTGTATCATACCAGCTCATATTTTAACGTGCCATATATGCTATCTTCTAGTATCATAACGTACATTATATCACATTATACGTCATATCATATTATATAGACTATTTGTTATGTGTCATATAACCTATCATGTCATATTGTGTCATATTATATTGTATTGTTGCGTATTGTATCTTATCACACGCCACATTGATTCTTGCTGTACTCTGCTGTATCGTCTGGCGGTGTACTGAACCTCCCCGTCAGGATTTCTGTGTGCAGGTATAGAAACGTGCATCACGATGCCTTCAGGTTCATGCTCGGTGTACTCCGTTGTGTACATGTGCATCATGCCGTTACATCAGATGTGTATTATAAGCTGTTTATTAGGAAGCATTAAAAAACAATGCGGTGTGTTTATTTTATGTCTTCACCATGGGATGTTTTGGCTGTTTTGAAGTGATTGAATGACGTCACTGCTGGTTCCTCACACAGAGACAAAACAACAGAAGATAAAACATGATACAAGTACATTAATTACTACTTGTCCTAGTTATAAAATTAAATGATAGGACAACGTCATTAAAAATTAAAACCTGGGCTGAATAGATGTCAAACCCAGAGAAGGTTGTTTTAAAGACAGCCAGCGGAAGAATGTGGGACGTGTGGCACTTTCAGAAAAGAGTTTAAATTGAAAAAATACAAGAAAATAAACACGGTGAGCGCGTTTATCATGACGTGGAACCTGGATCACAACAAGGAGAAGAAAAGGTCTGAATTTCAGGCCGAGCTGCAGAAAGATGAAGTTCCAGCCTGTCGGAGGGGAGAACTGCAGAGATTCAACAACACACAAACTGCATGCATGTGTGTGTGTGCATGTGTGTGTGCATGTGTGTGTGTGCATGTGTGTGTGTGTCTTACAAGCTCTCCAGACTTTTGGTTCCCGTCAGGTCTGGGAACTCGGTGAGGTTCGCAGCTCCGTTCAGAGATCTGAGAGAAAACAGAGAGCGGCAGATTTCCACGCAGGAACCAGAAAACACCGGAGCCCCGTTGGGTTTGAGCGAGCGCAACATTCTTTGTGTAATTAGCAGCTGATTAAACGAGGCTCAGACTAAAGACCGAGTCGCCTCAGTCTGACCTTTGCTTTCCTTCTGCGAGTGAAAGCAAGAAAATCCACAGAATTATTGTTTTAATTCTTGTTTCTAAGTTAAAGTCTCTGAAAATAACGACGCTCTGTTAGCCCTTGGAGCATGCGTTGTGCAGGACTCTCAGCTACTACCACCTAAAAGTTGTGTTTGGTGAAGGCTAAGGTTAGTTTAATGTGAATCTCCAATCAGGTTTACGCCAAAGGTTGTTGTAAAAATGTAGCCGGTATTTAAATTTCTGAAAGTTTCAAAAAGGTTTGTTGGATATTCACGAGATATTTTGCTAACAGTGCTGACACAAACACATACAGGCAAACACATTAATGTTGCTTTCTACTTAGCTTTACGTGAAAACCAAACGACATACGAGCAGCTAGCACCACGCAGGATGCTAACGCCGCCACGCTACGTGCAAAGACAATTTGTGCAGCAGTCCTCCTGTCTGGACACGTGAGCGAGCCCCTTAAACATGCAGTGTTGTGTCCGAGTGACCTTTGACCCCTGCTGTTTCCAGTTGAGTTTGTCAGCCCAACAATCTCCCCGTCGCTCTCTGTCACTGATCGTATTTGAACACTTCGGCGCACCGCAACGTTTTCTTGCTTTTAAGATGAAGACACGTGGATGTTTTTTTTAAAAAGCTCTAAAAAACAGAAACTTTGCACCAACTGTGACGTCACAGGCTGGAAGGTTCTCGTGACTTCTGGTTCTGTGTGTTTCTCACAGGGTTCGAAGCTCCGGCAGGTTCTGGAAGGCCGAGCGTCCGACAGACTGGATCGGGTTGTTGTAGAACAAACTGTGAATCCCAAACAAACACCATCATCACACGGAAGCCTCACAAGATGAAAAAACACCGACGTCTTTCAGAACCGGTTTAATGAGGCGGGGCAGGATTTGTGTGGGGTACCTACATGGAGATCAGCGATGGGTTCCCCGTAAAGGCGTGCTCCGGAATAGACTGGATGTTGTTGCTATGGAAACCACTTTACCAAAATGAAAACACAAGAAGATTAACAACGTCGACTCCCGCTGACCCTGCAGTGAAGAACCTGAGAAGAACCTTCAGACTCACAGCTCTTTGAGGTGGCTGAGGGAGCGGATGGCCGAGGGGAACTCCACCAGGCTGTTGTAGTTCAAATCTCTGAGGAACAACACACAAATACTCATTTTAAACCTCATTCCGCTCCATCCTGTGGTGTGAGAACGCCAGAGTCCCTTTGGTTTGAGGTCAAACTGATTCTGCACCATAAACATGAAGGTCAGAGTCATGGATCTATGAATTTACATGTTAGATCAGCTCCAGATTCACGGTCGTTTTGAGACAAATAGTCCACCGATAGACGGTTCAGAGATCGTCTTTGTGCCAGAAAACTTCAGTCAGAAACTCTGGTGTGGAGCGTTGTGTAACACTGACGTGTTTTTGACTGAAAACGTGCGCTGCGATATCCAGAGTCTGTATCTCCTGAGAGAAACAATAAAAACTAATCTTATCTCATCCCATTGTTGCCTCGTTTTACTACATTTGTACTGGGAATGATCTACTACAAGCTGGTAATACCAAACCTGGAAGAGGAATGTCCTGAATGGTAAATCCACCACGAAGAACTCGGAGCAAGTTTAGATCCAAAATACTTGAAGACTGGAGATGTCTCTTATTGAGGGAGTCGGTAAACCTCACAGAACCTGTTCTTTGTAGGCCGAGAACGTTAAACCTGTACTAGATGTGTTGGTTTTACATTCATCCACATCTAGCCTTTCTGTAGTCAGAGTATCACGTCTATACAGCTTTAGATCGACCACTCCAGAGCAAGAGTACGACCAGATCTTCATAATCTGGCAGTACAATGGACTAGTGGTTAGCAATGTTGCCTCATAGTAAGAAGGTCCTGGGTTCAAGACCCAGGTTGGACCCTGGGTCTTTCTGTGTGGAGTTTGCGTGACTTTCCTCCGGTTTCCTCCCACAATCTACAAACGTATGTTAAAGACCGCCTTTAAATACAGATCTGTGATCTTGGTGGGATTTGCCTGGTTAAACAAAGTTTAATTTCTTTATCTTTCAGCTGCTCCCTCTTCAGGGGCTCCACAGGGAGGTCCTCCTCTGTCTCTGTCCTCTGTGTCCTCTGTCCTCACTCCAACTACCTCCATGTCCTCTCTGACTGCGTCCATACATCTCCTCTTTGTCTTTTTCAAACAACAACACAAAGGCTAACAAGAAGGGAAACTTTTCTAACTGGGAACACGCATCTTGTAGTGGAAGAGGCCGTTTTAATCTGGGATCTCCAAATCTAGACTGCAACCGGATCCTTATATTGGGCGTGTTTTAGATGGAGAACATCCCGTCTGTGGTATAATCGTTGGCTTCATGTTGGGTATTCCATCCCTGGACTGGTTTCTGATCTTCATGAGATGATGGGAGAAGTTTCTAGAATGGAAAACATCTGTAGTGGAGTTCTTCAATCCCATGTCTACATTTTTATTTGGACCATTTTCATGACTGTGAAACTTCATGTCCACACTAGAACGTTTAGGCATTTCATTGGCATCGAATCTTCAAGACAGAAGAGTCTAGACTACAACCACAATATCTGCACCAAAACTTTTGGCTTTACACTGAGGTTTCCAAATCTACACTGGTTCCATATCTTCATGATGGAAACTGGATTGCGAGCACCACATTGGTACTTGGATTGTTGGCTTTACACTGGGAACTGGTTTCGGATCTTGATCCTAGGAACAGTCTAGATTCAAGATATAACATCTGTTCAGGAACTGTCAGCTTTAGATTGGTACCAGATTGTAATGACGGGAACTTTTTAAACTGGGAGCTTCACATCTATATTGAATTTATGAGTTTTAGTCCAAGAACTGAATCTCTAGATTAGAATAAATCGTTTGAATGGAAATGACAGTTTAATATCAGATGTCCATCATCACGATGCTGTGGGAACGTCGGCATTAGGCTGGGAAAGTGTTTCGTGTAAGGGTTTGTGTTCTGCTTTAATCTTTTCTCTCAGTTCTTTAAGTTTATTAAAGAAACATTTAACTGCACCGCCTCCTTCTCTTCTTTCATCATCAGTGAAGACTAGAGCATTCCTTGAGTCCACACGTGGCTTCCATTAGGTCCTCTCATCCATCTCTGGGATGCAGGTGGTCGTTCCACAGACACGGGTCTGCAGCGTGTGGAACGGAGCTGCCACATTGTGAAAATACCATTAAGTTGAAATTGCTTCAGTCTGGTTTTGAGCGTGTGATTCTGTGTGTGTTCGGAGGACGACTGCTATCAATAGCTTTGTTCCACGGATTTATTTCTGGTCTTTGGAAGCTTCTGATCGACTTTGAGCTTGAAAGATAAAGCCAGATTTGTGAAATATCCACGGTATCGATGTGTCTCATATCAGATGTTTATTTAACGAAACAACTGGATGTGCATCAGGAGCAGGTGGGACGGTAAGTCTATGTTTTTATTACGCAAGCACCAGATTTTAATCAATAAAGGAAACTCGACTTTAAACCATTTTATAATATTTTGTACTTATGAGCCAGTTTTCATGAGCCAGGGTCAAAGCACAAAGGCCCCCGCCAATGGCACCGTGCATCTGACTCGTGTGGCCCCTCCTGCAGAGGGTGGGCCCACAGGAAGGTTGACCCATGTAACTCATGGACAGTTCTACTGATGCCAGTGGCCATGCGTAAAGTCTGATACATTCATAGCCACTTCCTGTAGCTGTAGTAGAATATGTTGGTAGAACACCAATCGTTCAAAAAATGTGGATGCAAAGATAAAACATCAAATGTAAGAATAATGTGTCATCAGTGATAGTAACAATTATACAGAAACAACATAAAGTCATTTAATGTCATAGATCCATTTCAAGATACTGACTTTGATCATGAGCATTAGATTCTCTAAAAAAGTTTATTCAGGCTGAGCCCATCCAGGCTCGATGGGTAGAGACCTGGTCAACAGGCACCCAAAGACAAGCCCCTCCCAGGCCTGGCTCCAGGGTTGGGCCCCAGTAACTCATGTCCAAGAGAGGGACATTAATCTCCTTGCTGTCTTCTAGATGGAAAGATGACTGGATGGATGGATGGATGGATGGATGGATGGATGGATGGATGGATGGATGGATGAAAGATGGATGGAAAGATGGATGATGGAAAGATGGATGGATGATGGATGGATGGATGGATGGATGGATGGATGGATGGATGGATGGATGATGGATGGATCGTGGAAGGATGAATGGAAAGATGGATGGATGGAAAAATGGATGGATGGAACGATAGATTATGGATGGATAGATGATGGATGATGGAAGGATGGCAGGATGGATGAAAAGATGGATGGATGGATGGCAGGATGGATGGAAAGATGGATGGATGGATGATGGATGAAGGATGGAAGGATGGCAGGATGGAAGCATGGAAGAATGGCAGGATGGATGGAAAGATGGATGGACAGATGGATGGATGGATGGATGGATTATGTGTTGGCTCTTTTAGCTCAATATACAAGTTAAATAATCAATAAAAAACAAACAAACAAACAAATAATAAATGAATAAATAAAAGTAGCACTCCTTGAAGGTTACACCCCACCTGTTCTTAACCGACTCATCGTCGCACCTGTTTTACATTCAGTCATTAACCCGCTCCTGTGTTTCTGGGTCATGGACCTCAGCAGGTCCCATGTCTGCTCCCAACATTCATTTTACCAGTAGTAAATGGAAACAACCATTTAATTAACTTTTATGTTGGTAATTTTCTTGCTTTCGAATGAAATTAAGATGGAAACGTTTTAACTTTATGGGAAAGAGAACAGAACGGTAGCTGCGTGGCTGTCGTCAGTCCCGTTTTACTCCCTGCTCTTTCTGTTTAGAACTTAGTCACTTTTAGATTTCCTACTTTAGCTGAGTTGTTTTGATCTTTATTTTGGTTTAACAGTTTGAGGGAAACTCTAGTGTGAACGCTGAGTCAGCAGTATTCATACAAGTTATCATTCAGATACGTGTAGTTAGCCTTTTGCTACTTTTAGCTCTTTAGTTTTTGCTGCATGAATTGTTGAGCTAAACTTCTATTTGTCATTTTTCATAGATTTAGATAAAATTTTGCTACTTTACATTTTTTACTTTTTTCCTCTTACTTTTAGCTTTTTAACTAGTTTTGGTCCATTTTTATCTTTTAGCTAGCCTTTTGCTACATTTAGCTTTTAGCTAACAATTTGTTACATGTTATGCTACTTATTTTCTGATAAATCCTTAAAGCAGCTATTTTCAGTTATTCCCACGTCTGGCCTACAGTTTGTTTTGCTTTCTCTCAGTAAATGAATATATTCTGAAGTCTTCTCTCAGTATCCATCCATCCATCCATCCATCCATCCATCCATCCTCTGTCTCTGGACTCGGGTCTCGGGGGCAACATCTTGAGCAGGAAGGTCCAGACTTCTCTTTCCACAGACACCTCTTCCAGCTCTTCTGGAAGGACCCCAAGGCGTTTCCAGACCAGCTGAGAGATATAGACTTTCCAGTGTGTTTTGAGTATTCCCCCAGGTCTCCTCCTACTCAGACATGCCTGAAGCACCTCCCTAGGGAGGCACCAGGGAGCATTCTTACCAGATACCTGAACCACATCAACTGGCTCCTCTGGATGTGGAGGAGCAGAGTTTCTATTCCGAGTTTCTCCCAGATAACAGATCTTGTCACCCCTGAGTCCAGCTACCATGTGGAGGCAAGTCATTTCAACCACCTGTATCCGTACTCTCATTTTTTCAGTCACTACTCAGAGTTCATGGCCATAGGTGAGAGTAGGACCATTGATTGCCTGGTAAACAGAGAACTTTGCCTTACAGCTCAGCACTCTCTCCACCACAACAGACCGGCACAGAGTCCACAATACTGCACGTTACACCAATCCGTCTGTCAATCTCATGTTCCATTCTTCCCTCACTCGTTAACAAAACGCCTCCAAACAAATCCACTTGAGGCAGAACCTCACCCTTAACCCAAAGAGAGCAATCCACCCTTCTCTGACTGAGGACCATGGCCTCAAATTTGGAGGTGCTGATTCTCATCCAAGCCGCTGCATACTCAGTCCACCTTTTTGAAGAGGGGAATCACCACCCCTGTCTGCCAATCCAGTGGCACTGCCCCCGATGTTCACGGGATGTTGCAAAGGCGTGTCGACCAAGACAGCCCCACAACATCCAGAGCCTTAAAGGAAATCAGGGCAGATCTCATCCACCCATGAAGCCATGCGAAGCTGAGTTTTTTTAACTACCTCTGCAACCTCAGCCACGATTATGGACAGACCAATCACATAGTCACCCGACTCAGCTTCCTCCATGAAAGACATGCCGGTGGGATTGAGAAGGTCTGAGAAGCATTCCTTCCACCTCCCGACGACATCACCAGTTGGGGTCAACAGCACCCCAACTTCACTGAACACAGTGTTAGTAAAGTGCTGCTTTCCCCTCCCCTCAGCTGCCTGCTGGTTTGGCAGAATCTCCTCAGAGCTGATCGAGTCTCTATCCATGGCCTCACTGAACTCCTCCCGCATCCAAGCTTTTGTCTCAACAATAGCCAAGGCTGTGGACCGCTTGGCCCTCTGGTACTCCTCAACTGCCTCTGGAGTTCCACCAGACAAGGCCTGATAGAACTCCTTCTTCAGCTCGACAGCCTCCCTAATCTGAGGTGTCCACCACCAAGTTTGAGGATGTCCACCAAGAGAAGCACAGGCAGCCTTGTGGCCACAGCTCAAGGCAGCTGCCTCAACAATGGTGTCACGAAACACAGCCCACTAGGACTCAATGTCCTCCGCCTCAGCTGGGATGTAGAAGAAGCTCTCTCGGAGGTGTGAGTTCAAGATTTTTCTGACGGGTTCTTCAGCCAGGTTTTCCCAGAAAACCCTCACTACACATTTGTGTCTACTAGGTCTATCTGGCATCTTCTCCTGCCATCTAATCCAACTCATTACCAGGTGGTGATCAATTGACAGCTTGGCTCCTCTCTTTACCCTAGTGTCCAAAACAAACAACCGCAAATCAGATGACACAACTACAAAGGCAATCATTGATCTACGACCTATGGCATCTGGACACCGTTATGTTCGACCATGGTGTTTGTGATGGACAAACCAGTAACCTTGCACAGAAGTCCAACAAAATACCACTACTCAGGTTCAGAACAGAGAGGCTGTTCCTCCTAGTCATGCCCCTCCAGGTCACACTGTTGTTACCCACGTGGGCATTGAAGTCCCCCAGCATAAAAAAGGAGTCCCCAGCTGGCACACCCTCCAGAACCCTTGCTAAGGACTCCATGAAGACAGGATATTCTGAGCTGCCATTTGGCACGTAGGCAGAAACAACCATCATAGCCCATACCCCCAGCTGAAGGTGCAGGGAAGCTACCATCTCATCTACTGGGAAAACCTCCAACACAACACCAACACCAAGTCGGGGGGGTGGGGGGTTAAGAGTAGACCCACAGCAGTTCGGCACCTCTCACCATGAACAAATTCAGAGTGGAATAAGGTCCAGCCCCTTTCAAGGAGATCGGTTCCAGAGCCCATGCTGTGCATCGAGGTGAGCTCAACTATATCTAGTCGATACCTCTCAACCTCACGCACAAGCTCAGGCTCCTTCCCCACCAGAGAGGTTATGCTCCACGTCCCAAGAGCCAGTTTTCGTAAGCCAGGGTCAGAGTGTCAAGGCCCCCCACCTTCAGCCACTGCCCATGGAGTCATATGCAACTTGTATGGCCCTTCCTGCAGGTGGTGGCCCACAGGTAGGCAAACCCATGTTGCTCCTTCGGGCTGAACCTGACCGGGCCCCATGGGTAGAGACCCGATCACAAGGCACTTGACAATTAGCCCCTCCCCAGGCCTGGCTCCAGGGTGGAGCCCCAGTAACCCACGTCTGGGGACACCTTGTTTTTTTATTTGTCCATAGAGTCTTTGGACTCACTCTTTGTCTGGTCTGTCACCTAGACCCAATCTGTCTAGGCAAACCCTACCAGGGGCCCTCGCCCCCGACAGCAGAGCTCCTACGATCATTCAGGAGCACAAACTCCTCCACGGTAAGGTGGCAATTCAAGATCTACTGAGTTTTTTCTCAGTAGATAAACTGAAGACTGCTGGCTCAGATTATTACAACAAAAATCCTAAATTCCTTTTAGGATTTGGAGAGCAAAGTTTGAGGCAGCAGCTGCGCTGGTTCCCTTCCACATTTCTGCAGAGCTCTTCTGGTTCAGGTTCTTTTCAGTCGAGCCGCTCCTTTTGTTTACATGTTCCTCGTGAGGAAGCCGAGCTGAACGAGACGTTCTCCTCAAGTTTCAAAACTGGCAGGATAAATCATTTTTGTTTTAATTTCCGTTTGTAGTTTGGGACAAACGTGGTTTATTCTTGTTGATCCTACAGGTATATGGCCTCGCAGCATACAAGAACACATGAGCACATGAACACACGTGATGTGACCCGTGTGTGAATAATTAGGAATAGAACCGGGCCACACACAGAGTCCACGTTTATCCAGAAGTATTTCCAAATGAAGGAAATTAAACGCTGCTTCTCTGGCTGACTGAGAAAACAAAAACATTCCTCTGATTATACAAATACACACAAATACAGCAAAATACACACAGATACACAGAAGTACACACAGATACACTAAAATACACACAATAATACCTTCATTCTTCAGGGGTAAATGTTATTTAATAGGACTAATTACAGTTGTTGGTTTGATGGAAACAGGACGCTGATATTTCTCCAAGAATAAAAACACATTTATTATGACATTACTGAATATTTTAAATGTTTTCTCTGATTGTTTAATTTATTTCTCCTTCAGCTGTTTGATGGTTTTAATGACAACCAGCAGCTGAAGGAGCTGATTTAGATGTTTTCTGATCCACATGCAGACCAGTGATGTGTAAACAATAAAGTATTATTTATAGTTTTGCTGGATTTTTTTCTGTACATATTTACAGTTTAATAACTTTGGCTAACTTTGTGATTTTAGCTGTTATATAAAAACCTTCAGCTTGTTCAAGATGGGCTCTGTGATATCAGATTTTCAGTTTTTTATTTATTTCTCTGTTTTAAAATGTTTCCCCATAAAAAGAATTCTTTATATTTAGCTTTTAGCTACTCTTTTGCTGATTTTCTTAAATATTTTGCTACTTTTAACATTAAGCATTCCCCCCCCCCCACCAAGTTTTAGCTTTCAGCTATTGTTTGGCTTTTAGCTACCGTGTTGATACTTTTAGCTAATGTTTTTCTACATTGAGCTGTTACATTATAGCCAAACTTTTGTTTTTTTCTAGCATTTTGCTACATTTAGCTTTTAGCTACTGTTTTGCTACATTTAGCTACTCATTGGCTACTTTTAGCTAGAGTTATCGTTTATTTAGCCTTTTGCTTCGTTACACCTTTATTTAGTGTCTTTCGCCTTTTAGAGAACACTTTGTTACGTTTAGATAGCCTTTTTCTGGTTTTAGCTTCCAGCTTTGTTTAGCTACTTTTAGCCAGTCTTTTGCCAGTTTTTATAGCTGTCCTTTAGCTACATTTGGCTTTTAGCTATCTTTTAGCAAAATTTTTGTTTTAAGTAGTGTACTTTTAACTTTGTTTAGCTAAACCAACCCCATTTCTGACTCTTTAGCCGATTTTAGCTGTCGTTCAGCATTCTCACTGAATGGTTGCAGCTAAAATAACGCTTTCGGGTTTGTTGGAGAGGAGACGTTTTTTCTAAAACAGTGCCAGAGAGCATCAGGGTGGTGTTATCAGGTAGTTGCTGGAGCATTAAGCAGTCAAACGGTGAGTGGAGGTCAGCAGACCCAGACAACACTTCGTAGACCTGTAAGACCTGATTACCAGGACCTGGTGGAGTTTGATGGGGCCACGTTGTGGGTCTACAGAAACCTGGGTGTTGTTGGACACATATTGTGAAGGTTCTAGTTGTTCAAGACAAACAAAATAAGGAATATTGTGTCCCACCAGGACTATCTGGACTCAGGTACTGGACTCTTTACAGAACCGCACATCATCCCACATCATGTCCCGATGACCGGTGTCACCGGTTCTTCTGAATCTGCTGGTGGGTCCAGATTGGACCCACTAAGACTGAACGTTTGTTCACTAAAAGACTATTTTCAGAACAAAAACCCTCCCCGATGACCCCGACCTAACCCTGACTGCTCAAACTCTTCATCAGACACACACACACAAACTCACAGCGTCTCCAGACTCCGGAGTCCGTGGAAGCAGCTGGTTCCCATGGAAACGATCCTGTTGTTGTTGAGATGCCTGCAGAGAGAGAGACTGATGGACTAATGAAGCACACAAAAAGTGTGTGTGTGTGTGTGTGTGTGTGTGCGTGCGTGCGTGCGTGTGTGTGTGTGTGTGCGTGCGTGTGTGTGTGTGTGTGTGTGTGCACGTGCGTGTGTGTGTGCACACGTGCCCGTTTAAAAGGGGCCCCGGGGCCTCTGAAGAAGGTTTTTTCTTTTGGTAATTTCATGCAAATTAGCTTCAAGCCGATTGGACAAAAGAAGTGACAGCGGACTTCAATGGCGCCGCGCTGAAAGCCGTCACACGCACATAAAGACAGAGTCTGCATGTTATTAAAGAGCCGAAACCGACAGGCGAAGACGGCGTCGCCGCGGCTCAGAGGAGCCACCAACCGAAACAAAAACTCTGCACAAGATTAGCTTCATTTATTTAAAATATACACAGAGGCTGGACATTAAACTAAAAAACAAGTAGCTAAAACTAAATGGACTAAACTATAGCAAAACGCCTAAACTAACAAAGCTGCAGCTAAAAACCTAAAAAAGCAAGACAGTAGCCAATAGGTTAGCTAAAAACTGCACTAGTGACGAGGCAACTAACAGTAGCAAACTGGCTAAGTTAGCTAACAGTACAAAGATTAACTACAAGTTAAAAGTAGCAAAAGTTCAAAATAACAAAAGGATAAAAGCCGAAAGGTTAAATTAAGCAAACCGTGACACAATTTGCAAAAGTAGCAAAACAACAGCTAAAACATAAAAGTACCAAAAGACTAGATAAAAGCTAAAAGAAGTACAAGGTTTGCGAAAAACCCTAAAAAGAGTCAAAGGGTAGCTAAAATTATGAAAAAGACTAGCTAAAACTATCAAAAGACTAACTAGAAGCTAAAAGTAGCAAAAGGGTAAAGAAAGCTAAAAGTGACAAAATGCTAACTACACGTAGCAAGATGATAGCCTAAATGTAAAAGTAGCACGAGTAAATAAAAATTAAAAGTAGCCACGGGTTAGGCAAAAGTAAAATAAAACTTGCTAAAATGCTTAGCAAATTCTAAAATAGCAACAAACAAAAAGACATTCAAAAGATAAAAAGTATAAGCAGGGCAGCTAAACAAAAAGCTAAAAGTAACAAAAGGCTATCTTAAAGTAGCAAATGGTTAGAAAAAAGCCAAAAGTATTAGCCAAAACCTTAAAGTAGTTAAAGATAAGCTAAAAGGCTAGCCAAAAGCTGGAGTAGTCAAACAGCAGCTAAAAACTACATTATTAAAAAGACTAGCTAAAAAACAAAAACAAAAGGCCAAGTAGAGGATAAAAGCAGCAAAAGAGTAACTAAAGATAAAAGTGGCAAAATGCTAACTAAAAGCAGCAAACGATAGCCGAAATCTAAACGTAGCAAAAGGCTAGATAAAAACTAAAAGTAGCAAAGCATTAGCTAAAAGCTGAAAGTAAGAGCTAAAACTAACAAAAAGGTATGTAAAAACAGAAAATATCAACAAGCTAGCTCGCTGTGCTAAAATGTTAACTAAAAGCTAATAGTAGCATATTGGTAGCTGCTTGGCCTTCACACAACTGACGGCGTGTTTCTGTACGTACAGCACCACCAGGCGGCCCAGCCGGCTGAAGGCGTGGTCGGGGACATGGCTGATGTGGTTGAGGGCGAGCGTCATGGCCTGGAGCGTCAACAGCTCGCTCAGAGCCGCCGTTGGGACTTCCGTCAGAGAGTTGTCGTCCAACCAGAGGTGGCGAAGCGAACGCAGGCCCGAGAAAGATCCGGGCGGAACGCTGGAGATGTGATTAGCATCCAGGTGTCTGAGACGAAACAGACGGAGTCAGGAAACAGACAGAGTCAGGAAATAGACGATCAGGAAACAGATGGAGTCAGGAAACAGATGGTCAGGAAATAGACGGAGTCAGGGAACAGACGGAGTCAGGAAACAGAAAGAGTCAGGAAACAGAAAGAGTCAGGAAACAGACGGAGTCGGGAAACAGACGGAGTCAGGAAACA